CCTGGTCCAGCTCACGAGGGAAGGACCAGGGAAACCATGAGGTCTCTTGGGGAAACATGATCCAGGAGCCACGGCCAGGGAAGCTTGCCTTCAGTGAACACAAAACTAATGATAATCCAAATTGACAAAGAAACACATTGAATACTTTATATTTGTGACCCAACACACACACACACACACACACACACACACACACACACACACACACACACACACAAACACACAAACTCGCTCATGCAAACGTGACCAGACATGTACAAAAAGACATAAATTTTCAAAACTGATGTTTATTTTATTCTTTTTAATTCATTGGGCTCTCGGCCTTTGTTGATTTCACAGACCCTAGTGTGTGAACCATCTGAAAGATTGTGGAAGTAAAACTCCCCTGTCATCTGTGAGATTAAGTATTCTTTCCTTGCTGGAAAGCTGCTGGAATTGGGAGAGTGTCAGGAAATGCAGGCACCCCCTTCCTGGTGTCTCCAAAGGGAAAGAGACACTCAATCAAGGAGCCCCCTGAATGTGAGGAGGAAACCACAGCATGGCTACAGTCCCCAAACACACACACAATAGTTTACATGACAGAGGATGATTTCAGGATACCAAAGTGACTCTATGTATTTCTGAGTCTTGTTTTATCTCTTGTTCTTTTTAAAACAGGGTCAGGCCTACTTTGTAGCCCAGGCTGCCCCATAAAGCACTCCTTTGCCTTAAAGAAATATGGTCATTTTATTGAGTCTAAAATACTGTTTTGTTGCATTTTTTTAATGTGAGGAAGAGGAGATTTTACTGTGATCATCAAATTTGGCTGGATCCTCACGCACTATTATTGATTAGCATTATTGCTGAATCCTCCTTGTCCCCACCCCAAGCAGCTGACTCTCTGCCCCTACCTTCCAGGAAGGGCACACAAAGGACAAGGTCAGCTGCGCAGATTAATTTGCCACTGCAGGAGCTCCCCACAGACACTCCAGCTGGACTGAGGACCCAGCCATGTCTCTGCTGACGGCTGTGATGCTGCTGCTCTGGGGTAAGACGTCCTGGGCCCTAAAACCTCTGGGCAGGTGTGGTGTGAATGGACACTCACAAACTCTGTCCCTACAGGCTTCACGCTGCGCCCAGCAACTGCTGACTTCGGTAAGTTCAGTGATAGGACCTAGAGACAGCGTAGGCTTTGGTTGGTGGGAAAGCCCTTTCCTAAGGGCAGCAAGCTAACGCTGGCTGTTTTCCACGCCAGACAGTGACGGCGATCCCATCCTATGGGCAGACCCTCAGTCCCTGCTGGAACCCTGGGCAAACCTGACACTGACGTGTGAGGCTGCTCTCCCTACCAAGGCCTTCCAGTTGATCATGAATGGATGGCGTATCCAGGAAGTCCAGCTTCCTAAATATGTCAGGTCACACCAGTTCCCACTGGGGACAATTACAAGTGACAACAGTGGCCTCTACCGCTGCCGCTATGATATGGAGCCCCCGCCGACTACTGACCTGACTGAGATGAATAAGTGGACCATGCTAAGCAATCTTGTAGAGGTGACAGGGACAGGTAAGCCGGGCCATCATGGGGTCAGGAGGCAGTGGATGGGGGGGACGTAGATGGAGGAGCTTCCACCCCGTGCCGCCTGGCACCTCTTAGCCTCGGTTTGTCCATCCGTCAGGTGGCAATGAATATGCTGCCCCCAGAGGCTTGTGAATAATGTCTCAATGAGTGATGGGGACAGGCATGGCACTGAGTAGTGTTCTGCACCCCTTCTCTTTCTCTTCCACCCCCCTGCTGATCCTGCCTCCCTGTCTGGGGTCCATTCTCTCACTTTCTCCAGACTGAGACTGACCCACTCACCAAGCCTGCCTTCGCCCTCCACAGAGCCCTTGCCCCGACCCTCGCTTGAGGCTTTTCCAGTGTCCTGGATGGTACCTTCCCTGGGCACATACCTGCTGTGTCACGCTGCATTGCGGGGTGTAACTTTCATGCTGACGATGGAAGGAGATGATAGTTTCCTGAAGGAGACCATAGCGGAAAACACGCAACGAGCCTGGTTTACAGTCTTCCAACCCGGCACCTACTTCTGCAGCTACCGAACTCACGCAGAAGGCGCCCCCTCTGAGCCCAGCGCTCCTGTGACCATCAAGAATTACAGTGAGTGTTGAACCCCAACAATGAAAAGCCATCGTAGGACCGGGTGTATGGTGTCCAGAGCCTTCACTGGAGGACGGAGATTCGGGGGCTGGCCAAAGGGCAGTTCTTAGTGGGACCGTACAGAGCAGGGGGTCCTGGACTCCCGCCTGAGCGTTCTTCCCTGCCTTGCAGCCACACCACCTCCGCCCACTCTGTATTTTTGGTTAAATTACCCAACAATCAAGTCCCCGAGCAGACTGGAGATGCTTGCCTGCAGAACTCCTCTGATGGTACAGGGATTCCAACTCAGGCAGGGTGAGAAGGTGCTCCACGTTCGGGAGTTCAGCCCTTTCCAAGAACTCATGATCTACTACCTGAACTGGACGACGCTGGAGGACCAAGGCCCTTTGACCTGCCGCTACTGTCTCAACAGAAGGTTGAATATTTGGTCCGAAGACAGTGAGCCCATTGAGCTGATGTGGAGTGATGGTGAGTTTCACAGTGGGGCGGCAGGCGAGTGGAAGACAATGATCAGAAGCAAGCAGGATGGGGACCCCAAAGCAGAACCTCCAAATCTTAGCCACGATTTCCCAAGCTTTCAATAGGACAATTAATCAATACAGCAACCTTGAGCCCAGTAATGAATTGGGTCACCAGAGAAGTCTGGCACGGAGTTTAATGCACCTCCACATGTCAGGGTATCCTAGCAGGAACAGGGAGGTGGGCTTGCTGCCTGCTGGGAGCTCGGCAAGGCTGGGATGTTGACCAGGCGCACAGATTGAAGCAGTGTTGTCTTTGGTGCCCTAGAGAAGCAGGCAAAAGAGGGGGCAAGGTGGTCCCTTTCAGCAGAAGGCTGAGTCAGAGCACAGGCTGAACCATGCATAGGGCTCTTGTCAGGCCATCAGGCTGGGCCAATGCGTCTGCTCTTCCACAGCAACACTTCCAGCCCCCGTGCTCACTGTAGAGCCATCGAGTCAGAACGTGGAACCTGGCTCCACCGTGTATTTTCGATGTACTGCACCCGAGGCGGGCCTCCGTTTTGGACTACAACGACAGGGTGACAGAGATAATCCCCTGATCCAGATGCTGAAACCGGCTGGAACTGAAGCTGTCTTTGAGCTGCACAGGGTCTCAACAATAGACTCTGGCAACTACAGTTGCGTCTACATAAAGCAGACGCCGCCCTTCTCCGGATCTGCTCCCAGTGAGACCTTGGAGTTGCTTGTGAATGGTGAGCTGAGCATATCCAGAAGTGTGGGAGGTCCAATGTGTTACTAACTTAAGGATCAGAGTTCCTGGGCTGTGATCTTGTGACGGGACATCCATTCTGGGCTGGGCCATAATGATGTGTTAGACTTTGAAATAGACTCCCCAAGGTGAAGCATGAAACCAGGGTTTGTTTTCCATGCTTTAAGGTTCTACATCTTGTAGAACCATCTTCAATGGTGTTAGGATCCAAGTTTTTCATGTTCAAATGCACCCTCCTGTGCCTCAGTTTCCCTGTGATGCCAAGTCCACTGATACCATTGACTGCCTTGAACCAATGTGTAATTTTATAGACACCAGAGTCCCTGGGCTTTATTGGTCCTTCAGTTTCCTCATTAAGGTCTCAGCGGGTCAGAGTTCACCCACAAAAGATTTCTCACAGGCTTCAGACCTACTTAGGTTCTGACAGCAGATCTTTGAACTGTGCCTGTTCTACAAGCACTTTTCTGAAAGGTCTCTTCCCCACTCTAACTCTTGGGGCATCCCACAAGGTCCTAGGACAGACCAGCACCTGGTAGGTCTCATAGACATCACGATTTAGAGGTAGGGACATATAGATGACATGTAGTTTCGATAACTCCAGTGCTTATGGCATAGGGCAGGACAGGGAGCTGCCTGGCTCAGAGTAGGGAGTACAAGGGACATAGCCAGAGCAGACCCGCCCATTGGACCTGACAGAAGGTGCTGCAACCTCAATGCTATTCCCTTCACAGGGCCACCACCCAGGCCAAAGCTTGAAGCTCTGTGGACAGGCAAAGTGCCTCTGGGCCATGAAGCCAAGTTCCGCTGCCATGGCCATGTGCCCATGGTCAGAGTGGAGCTGGTGCGTGAGGGCAATCGTTTGCCCGAATGGGTAAGTCTGGCAATGAGGAGAACATCAGTTGACCTGAAGCTGCCCTTCGTGGGTCCCCAACACACTGGCAACTATCGCTGCCGATATACCATCGACTCACCCTTGGAATTTGAGTCAGGGTTCAGCGACCCTGTGGAGGTTATAGTAGAAGGTAAGGCTTCCAGGGATGTGTTTGGGTTTTGCCTCTTGATATTTCCAGGGCCGTCCACTGCTTAATAGCCTGATCAAGTGCAGTGTGGAAAGGCCCCTTGGCAATTTGCAGGATCAATGCTTTCACTTTTCCATCTAGATATCTGATGAGGCTGCCGTTACGGGAAAAAATGATGTCCTTGGAAAGGGTTGAAGACATGCAGAGTTCCCACTCTTCCAGCTGTAAGATGCCTCTCCTTCAATCTCCCTGTACTTAATAAATATCAAACAAGAGTTTGTTTAAAACCTGTCTTCCATCTATGTGTCCACAGTGGCTACAGGAGGCGGGCTATTCTTCCAGGCCTGAGACCCTGTGTAATTAAAGAGGGTAGGCTAAGGGTTGAATCCTAAGGACAGAAGGCCTGGTCCTGTTAACCCATTTCCCAAAATCTCTTTCTTCTGCCCTCCTTTCTGCGTGCCTCTTTAGCTCCCGGGCACTTCTGCCCACTTCCAGCAGGTTTGTGCAGGCAGCTTGGAGCTCTGGGCATGCCTGTCTTAGCTTGGAAGGGTCTGTCCCTGCCCTAACAGAAGGTTAGAAAATGGGTTTTTAGTTTTTACAAATACACTCTGATGGGTGTCATCAGAGTGTGTCCAAATTGATGCATTCTCTGAAGTACCTCAAATAGAACAAAACAAAACAACAAACCATCTTCAGAACTGAACCAATAATTTGTTCCCTTCAAGCCTCAGTGGAGCCTGAAGTGCTGATCCCTGGAGCAGAAGTGGCCCTCAGCTCAAAAGTAACTTGCCCACCTGGCTTGCATCCCTGCAATCCCGTGGTGCTTCTGGTCCCCAGGATAACTCAGGCATGCTCCATCCTCCCTGTGACCACTGTTCCATCAGTGTGTTTGTTCAGAGGGCCCTTTCTACTCCCTCACCTCACATGACACTAACTGACCCATGCCTGAAAGCTGCAGCATCGTCTCATTCATCTTTTTTCAAACAAGTCCTAACTGGAAGTCCAGCAGCACAATCCAGAGGCCAATTTGGTTAGTGGAGATCCCAAAGATGGAGAATACATGGTTTCTGTTCTTAAGCAATACAGTTTGGAACTGGACAAGTGCTTTAGAGAGAAAAAGCTCTTACTGTACAAGCAAGACCAACACAGTTGATACCCAGAGTCCATAACAAAAGGAATAAACAGGAAGGTGGTGGCGGGCATCTGTAGCCAGTGTCCCTACAGTGAGATGGAGGGGACACAGGACAACAGAGCACCGCCAGGCTTGGATATGGGAGAAAGAGAGAACAAACTCCCCAAAGTCGTCTTCTGATCTTCATGGACACAATCGTATAGTCACTCAAGCTCACTCACATATACACATCTAATAGTAGATAAATAGTTTAGTTACATAACCCACACTCACATATAAACATCTAAAAATAGATAGTTTAGTTACATAACACAGCTTCAGATATACACATCTAATAATAGATAAATAGTTTAGTTACATAACCCACACTCACATATAAACATCTAAAAATAGATAGTTTAGTTACATAACACAGCTTCAGATATACACATCTAATAATAGATAAATAGTTTAGTTACATAACCCAGACTCACATATACACATCTAACAATAGATAAATAGTTTAGTTACATAACCCA